ATTGCATTTGAACATCATCTCATTCCAAAGGAAATCGTAACAGAAGAACAAGCTAGACAACAAACTAAGAATTTTCTACTTGCTGAACAAATCGATGTATGTGATCTAATTCTATGATTACATGTTCTCTGGCTTTACTTCTGACTTTTCAGAGTTAAACAGAATGCTCTCAACCTGAATACAGCAAAGCCAAAATAATGGTTGTAAGCTGTAGTTCATATTTGTTGACAAAAGCAATCATCAACAGCAAAGAATCAAAGAAGAACAACAAGATATATAAAGTTTTATGTTTTATGGCAACAAATATGCAGTTTGAAACCAGCATCAACTAAATAAAAGAACAGCAGTCAGCAAGCACAAGCGATGGTTAAGTGCAAAAATGTAGACATCTAACAGATAGTTCTAGAACAGAGCTGAACAGTTTTGCAATTTCTTGGAAATTATCTGCTAGAAAGTTTTCAACGACAATAGAATAAGATTTGATCCCCAAATGTGTTTACAAAGGTTGGCTAATAATTTCAAAATCAAGGAGAAGAATTTAAATCCTTTCTCTTTGGTTTAAATTGAACTCTAAGGGAGACAGGCAGCAGGTCTGCAGATGAATGGTAGACAATCACAAAGCAAAGCTTGAACCATAATCTATGTAACCTCCAAGAATGGATTTCCCAAGAGGCCAAACTCAGTTTTATCAATGAAACATAATGGAATGCAAACCTCCAGAAGAACAGACTCACTGTTGGCAGCAAAGTTCTTTAATTGGTAAGACTCTCAAATAGAAAAGCACTGCTCGCTATGGTTCCAGTTATGCTTTTCATTAAAGTCCCAAAAACTTGTTTGATGGTAATATTCATTTTGCTTTGATTGTGTTTTTGCAAGATAAAGAGCATTACACAGTGTTTCCATATATCACTTCCCATATGACAACTTACCCTTGCCCAAATATGGATCTGCCGTCACTGTAATTCTAAAACAATATACTATTAAAGACTATACACTCCTTTACTTATTTTATAAAAAATGCAACATGAGTATACAAAAAACAATCTACACGCTTCAAACTAGCTCATGTAAAATTGCTTGTTTGAATCGAAATTCTTTATGAGCAATTCTCACTCAAATTGGAAATTAAATAAATATGTTACAGTAAACGGTGCAAGCTGCAACATATTTATCGACTTGACTAAAGTAAAATTGTTTTGCATGCATTTTCTCACCTGTGCTTTGTTTGAATGAGAAGTAACTAGGGCTCAGCCTTCACAAGGTCTTCGACAGAGAATCTATAGTTGGCAATCAGATCCCTGAAATAACCACATTCAATAAGCAGAAAACTTCAAATGCAGAAACACAAACCAGGGTCAACTACTCACCTCCTTTGATTTAGTAGTTGTTCACTCTCCTCCAGCTTTCGCTTCTGTCCTTCAACAGTCTACATCCCAAAAACAAATTTTTATTAATTATATCACAACCCCTCAATTAGAAAGGATCATAAATGTCAGAAAACAATATATATTTTCTAAAAATGATGGAAAACAATTCTGAAAATCCAAACAGTCTACAGAAGCCTGCCCTACGTTTTACCTACTTTTATGTTTCTAACAAACAATCAGGCATCAAAGAACATGTCTAATCGCATTGATGGAATCAAGGGTAAAATTCATTAAACCCCCAGATGCATCTTTATCAGCATCTCTAAAACATTAAAACAGATATTACAAATTATAAAAGAAAAAACAAAAAAGAAGAGTTGCTAATTACCATAGCTTTGGTGTTAATTGATGCCGCAATCGAGTTCAAAAGCTGCTGGCACTTCTCAAAGTGATTGTTCAGTTCATTAATCTTCCGAAAACTCCACAACAAAAAATAAAATCAATAATCTTCAAAATAAACTCTAAGCCAATTTATAATTGCAAAAGAATAGAAAAAAAAA